CGGGAAGCCAGCCAACGGCAGTACTGCCTGTCACGTATCGGGCACGTGGTCAGTGCCAGGCACGGAGCTGTGCACCCGGCGTGCCTTATCACATGAATCTTCCTATGCATCTTCCTCGTGAAACGCCCTGTGGGGCAGGTATTAGATTCCCAGTTTACAGATGAGGATTATGAGGCTTGGAGACTGTGATCTGTCCAGAGCCACACAAGGGAGTAGAACTCAGTGGAACTCAGGGCAGAGCTGACACCGGTGAGTGACCCTTGCCCTCCTTCAGGTAATGAACGTCCAGGTAATAAACCTCACGCGATGTGGGTGGCATTGTTCTTGCATTTCAAGGAAACAACCTCTAGAATACTCTTTTTTTTTTTTTTTAAGAGTTAGAATCAAGACTATGAAATCTTAAACATATTGAACCAGTGCCATTCACAACTGAAACTGGAACTGGCCCAACCCACATTCCCACTTTGCAGAAAGGAGAGGCGAGCTCTCAGGAAGCCTGAAAGTGAAACACGTTTCAGAGAGTTGAGGAGATATATCCAGGTTTCATCAAAGGCCATGGTTATTCTGAGACAACAAAATTATCTTTGAAAAAAATCAGATATTCTATGTAATGGACATTTTTTGAAACAACACTCTCTTCTCACCAGTACCTGTGTCCTGAGACTAGAGCAGATGTTAGGAGGACAGAGGACGTCTGACAGTCCCCCCAGGTCTGAGACCTTTGTCATCCCGTACAGGGGGAATGACCAGGAGGCTTCTGGTCTGTCTATACACGTGGGAGGCTGGAGTAAGTGGAAACCACTTTGACTGGAGACTACCTGGGGATGAAAATTAAGAGAGGGGATACTGGAATTGGCCCCAGCTGCTGTAGGAATATTGTGCTTCTCTGGAAGGGGAGGCCCCCCAGAACTTCAGGCCTCCTCTTTGCTTTACAGGATAGGGACAGATGGCGCTCCAGCTAGGAGTAGGGGAGAGCTCCCCATTTCTCCAGTCCTCCAGTCAGGACTTAGAGGCTTGGTGTCTAGGATGTCCTCAGTGCAGAAAGGGTCCCTCCAACTTCCTTGCAAAGTGGAGCATGGAGTCTCCCCACTGCAAACTGAGCCTTCAGTTCCTGGGGTCATGGAGTCATTGTGACTACCTTGAAAAAGACAGGACACTTAAAATCTACTCCTTCAGTCTTCCCGACTCCTCAGAGTCCCCATCTCTAGGGTACTTGGTAACTGGACTCTCTTTTCTCTTTAAGGCCCTACGGGTTGTTTTCTGTCCTCCAAAACGCCATTCGTTCAATTGTTTTCACTGTGGCCAACACTCATTTATCATTTGTTTGTGGGTTGTATGCTGAAGAGGAAAATCTTACAGTTAACAAATATTTACTGAGTGCTAGTCCAGGCCGCCTACTGTGCTAGGCACCGAGGAGAGAGAAGTGACAAGGGGAGAGCCGGCCCTGGCCCTCATTCACAGAGCGGGTATTTAGCCAGAACTTTCGACGTGGCAGGTACCGCCCAGGGTTAACGTTGGAGCACGTATTGTCAGTGAAGGCATTCTCAGCCCCGCAGGGCAGAGCTCCATTCTCTTTACGTATCACCACAGATACATGCACAGTGCTCTGTAATGCCGCACTTTCACGGGGTGAGTGGTCACTAGGAAGAAATGCTGAAAGGGCAATAATGAAAAAAAAAGGTTGAGAAACACAGTTTGATCAATGAAGACATAAAAATCTCTGCTTTCCTGGCTTACAGTCTTGAACCATTAAAAACAGAAAAAAGTAAGGCCAGCAGGTGGAGTAGTGGTTAAGGTGCTGGTCTCCCACATGGCCGACTATGGTTCGAGTCTCAGACCTGGCAGCTTGCTCTCTCGCTTTCTCTCTCTCTGTCTGTCTGTCTCTCGGAAACCACTTTGACTGGAGACTACCTGGGGATGAAAATTAAGAGAGGGGATACTGGAATTGGCCCCAGCTGCTGTAGGAATATTGTGCTTCTCTGGAAGGGGAGGCCCCCCAGAACTTCAGGCCTCCTCTTTGCTTTACAGGATAGGGACAGATGGCGCTCCAGCTAGGAGTAGGGGAGAGCTCCCCATTTCTCCAGTCCTCCAGTCAGGACTTAGAGGCTTGGTGTCTAGGATGTCCTCAGTGCAGAAAGGGTCCCTCCAACTTCCTTGCAAAGTGGAGCATGGAGTCTCCCCACTGCAAACTGAGCCTTCAGTTCCTGGGGTCATGGAGTCATTGTGACTACCTTGAAAAAGACAGGACACTTAAAATCTACTCCTTCAGTCTTCCCGACTCCTCAGAGTCCCCATCTCTAGGGTACTTGGTAACTGGACTCTCTTTTCTCTTTAAGGCCCTACGGGTTGTTTTCTGTCCTCCAAAACGCCATTCGTTCAATTGTTTTCACTGTGGCCAACACTCATTTATCATTTGTTTGTGGGTTGTATGCTGAAGAGGAAAATCTTACAGTTAACAAATATTTACTGAGTGCTAGTCCAGGCCGCCTACTGTGCTAGGCACCGAGGAGAGAGAAGTGACAAGGGGAGAGCCGGCCCTGGCCCTCATTCACAGAGCGGGTATTTAGCCAGAACTTTCGACGTGGCAGGTACCGCCCAGGGTTAACGTTGGAGCACGTATTGTCAGTGAAGGCATTCTCAGCCCCGCAGGGCAGAGCTCCATTCTCTTTACGTATCACCACAGATACATGCACAGTGCTCTGTAATGCCGCACTTTCACGGGGTGAGTGGTCACTAGGAAGAAATGCTGAAAGGGCAATAATGAAAAAAAAAGGTTGAGAAACACAGTTTGATCAATGAAGACATAAAAATCTCTGCTTTCCTGGCTTACAGTCTTGAACCATTAAAAACAGAAAAAAGTAAGGCCAGCAGGTGGAGTAGTGGTTAAGGTGCTGGTCTCCCACATGGCCGACTATGGTTCGAGTCTCAGACCTGGCAGCTTGCTCTCTCGCTTTCTCTCTCTCTGTCTGTCTGTCTCTCACTGGTCAAATTGAAAACAATAATAATAATTAATAAAATTAAATGATTATTTAAATTTTTTTTGAAGTAAAAAGTAAATACAGTAAGAATTAAATCATCACTTGGGACCAAATGGTGGCTCAGCAGTAAAACATAGCACTGCAAGGCTGACCCGCATGGGAGGGTTCTAGGTTCATATCCAGAGACCGCCCCGAGTACCCCAGAGTCACATGTGTGCCCGTGATCTGGGACTGGCTGAGACAATAGATAGATCATACCATCGAGTCCTGCTGGGAGTGCTGTCTCTCTCTCTCTCTCTTGTTCTCTGTCTCTCTCTTACTCTTAGTCATGGCAACAATAAAGTTTTTAAAGATAAATAAATACTTTGTACAAAGTGTCTTGATGGCAAAGGCCGGTGGGCTGAACTCAAAGGCTTATTTCACAGGGATCCACCCAGGCTAAGTGATAGGACAGGCCTCCTGGAAGAGAGGATGTTGCAAGCGAGACCTAAAGGTGTGTGAGAATTGAGGGTGGGGGGTGCCCTGTTGCAGTTGCCTGAAACAGCCACCCCATGTGGAGTCTTTCCACCTGGACGTCTGTTCAGTGACTGGTTCCGAGCCCTGCCTTTCACTCTGAGGGTGAGGGACCTGGGTCGTTCAGGTCATTCAGGATGGACTTCGGGCGCCCCAGCCCTTCCTGCCCATGTTTGCATTTCACTTGCCCCAAGTTTCTTCCTTTCCCAGGTCAGCCAGCTCATCTGCCTTCTGCGGCCCCCTCCCCCGTCACTCTGAAAAGAAAACCAAAACTGGTTCCAACCCTGGATCCTGGCAGACCCGGGGCTGGGCCCCTCAGGGCCTGGATTCTTTATGTCAACAAACCCCCTGGCTCTTGGCTCAGGGCACTGGCATGGGGGGACCATCCACAGTCAGCAGTTTTATTGAAAATCAAATAAGGGATATAAAGGAAGGGTTGGGGAGGTTTGGATATTTGCTGTTTTCTTTCTCCCTGAGCATTTGGACCAGCGTTTACTTTGTGGGCTAGTGCAGAGACGTCGGCCTTTCTCACCCAGGACCTATGTTGAACGCGGAGTCTTAGAACACACCCAGGGCTCCTGCAGCCACTGGCACAGGTCTTAGGAGATGGTTTTTAAGCCTGTCTTAAAGTGGAAAGAGCTGACGGTCCTAAGGAGATGGTCCTAACAGTCCCTCTATTGAAATCCTCCCAGAATCTGCTCCTGGCCCTCCGAGAAAGACTGATATTCTGGTCCCTATTTGACAGATGAGAAAACGGAAGGTCATGGAGTCAGGGCAGAGCAGAAGCTTGACTCCCACCCCGCCTTCCTTCCCCACGCATATGTGGGTCCTAAAGTCTTTGTGGAGTCAAAGATAGGGGTGGGGATTTAAACCCTGGGGGACCAGCAGGTAGCATGGTGGTTAACAACGCTGGACTCCCACATGGCTGACCACAGTTTGAGTCCCGGACCCGGCAGCTTGCTTTCTCACTTTCCCTCTCTCTCTCTCACTCTGCCTCTCTCTGGTCAAATTAAAATAAATAAAGTAATTTAAAAATAATAAATAAACCCTGTTGGAAAGTAACTTGTAAGTCACAATGGCATCTACCCATTAGAGGGAGTCTCAGGTTGCAATGAACAGAAAACTGCTCAGAAAGTGATTGGGGGAGTGTTCTTATAAGGCTCCGTAAAAGCTAAGGGAGAGAACTACTAAGCCATTGGGTCCAGGTGTCATCTCTCTCATCCTCGCACACACGTGCACACACACACATGCTACTTGTCCTCTCTGCTCCTCTCCATACCTTTGCTGAGTCCTTTCTCCAGTCATGTGACAAGAAGGGATGACCTCGCATTCCCCCAGTTCAAAGGACCAGCCCAGCGAGTGAGTGGTTATCTGAAGGCCCATAACCCCAAACCCTGGGAAGGGCCTTCTGAAAAGCCCAGCCATGCCGAGAATCCAATTGTACGGTGGCCTGGGAGTAGGGTCATACACATGGCTGCCAGGGAGGCAGGGAAGAGTTAGACAGGCACCCTCAGATATACTGTATTTTCTCCTCTGAGTCACGAGAAACGTGGGACAGTTGATTCAGCAACGCCCGTTCGGGGAATCCCATTATGCTGGGTGTGCTCTCATGAGATGTCCCTTGTCTCTAAGCCGTGAAACACACACAGGTGAAGGGGGAAAGCAGTGCTGTGTATCTGGAGGAGTGTACCCCAAAACCTGAATCGGGCTTATCTTTGGTTAGTGCTATAGTGAGGAACCCTTTCGTCACCTTTGTGCTCACATCTGTGTATATATTTTCACCATATTTTGTGTACCAAAAAATAACAATCGTTTGAATAGAACATTTGGGGATCTTGCTGAAATTACAGAGTTTGTACGCTTGTTCCCCTTGCTTGTTGAAGGTTGGAGCTAGAAAATCTACCCTAAGGATGGACCAAGAAAAAGAGAAGCTGAAGAAAGAAACATCTTGCAAGTCCAGCCAGAGCCTCTTGTCTAAGCCTGGCGGAAGGAACTAGAAACGTCCCACCAA